CTGCTCTGTGATGCCCCTCTGCCATGCCACCTTGCCTGGGGGTCTGCTGATTATGGACTGAAACCTCTACAAAGTGTGAGTCGAAATAAGTGTTTTCTCCTTTTACTCTAGGTGTTGGGTACTTTGTCTTAGAAACAAAAGTAACTAAAACAGATGTCTGGAGCCATGACCCAGGAAACTCCTATTGCCCAAGGTGGTAGATTTTGGCACCAGGTTTTACAGACACACAGAATGCAAGAGTTGTGAGGCAAGGACACTTCTACCCAGATTTTAGAAGGCCTGAGAATCCAGGCAGCATCCCCCTGACAGGGCAGTGCATGAAAGTGAATCTAGAAATGTAGTAGAGGCCAAGAAAGCTGGAGAAGCCAGGAACGGGGACTGTCTCAGGAAAGCCAGCCCGAGAGAAGCCATGAGGGATCAAGCACTAGCAGTGGTGGAGGAGTTCACGGATAGCTCACCACAGCTTTCCTGGCTGGTGCGTGTGAAGCTGAGACCATGTTTGCCTGACAGGCTTCCATCTTGCTTTGCTCTTGTGTCTTACTACCTTCCTGTGCTCTTCGGGAACAGGAATGTTTACTCTGGGCCACTGTGTGCTGACCGCATTTAAACGTCTCTTTTTATTTTCACAGGGGTTCACAGCTCAGAGTTTGCCTTAGTCTCAGAGGAGACTTTGGATTTGCATGTTTCAGCAGTGCTGGAGTTGTTAAGACCTTGGCAACTCTTAGAGATGGCCTAAATGCATTTTCATAAAGAGATGCACACAAGTCCTTCAGGGGCCAGGGGTGGAGTGTTGTGGTTTTTATCTACATGTCCCCGAAGAGCCTCATGCACTCAGAGTGACTGCTTTTGGAAGAGGTGGGAATGAGGTTTACAAGTGATTTCCTGTCAGGAGGTGGGACTTTGATAGAAGTCAGTCATTAGCAGCCTGACTTGGAGGGGAATGCCTCTCTCTCTGGTTCCTCCCTTCTCTCTCTGTTTGCTGGCTGCTGTGACACAGGACCTTTACTCCACTGTGCCTTCCTGCCTTAGCATCAGCCAACTACACCCTAAAACTGTGAGCCAAAATAAACCTTCTTGGAGTTGAAGCTGTTAGTGTTTTGTCCCAGCAGTGTGTAAAGTGACTGAGGAAAGTCTGGATGTAGTCTAGTTCCTTAAACTGACAAAATTTCCTCTCAATTTTTGGAGCGTTTTCAAACCAGCAGAATTTGCCCTGCATTTGTCTTTTTTTATGTTTACTTTTTCTATGTACATTTTTCTTAACTTTCCTATCTCCCTCCCTTTCCATCCCACTCTATCTCCCACACCTTTTTTTTTTCTTTTTATTTCCTCCTGCTCTTTCTCTATTTCCTTTTCCTCTTCTGCTGCTGCTTGAAACATTTGAAGTTTATCGCATGTTACATCTCCAACTATTTCAATATAAAAATTCTCTAAGTAAGGACAATCTTTTATATAACTATGACACAACTTCACAGTTAAGAAAGCAAGAATTTCATGGATGTAATGCAAAACTCAGTTAATATAAAAATTTCCTCAATTTGTCTTCAAAATGACTTTTAAAGACTATCTTTTTCTAATAGCTCCAAATTACTTTAACATTTAAAGTGTTACCATTTTATTTTTTTTCCTCAGAATAAGCTTATCTTTTCATGAGTCCATTTAGTTATTTACAGACCTGCATATATATATATATATATATATATATATATATATATGCACTTATCCAGTTATTTGCTTAGGATAAATACCAGTAGGTAGAATCACTTGATTTAAAGTTTTGGCTATCTAATGTTTATGTGTGGCCTTATTAATCTCCGGAAGGGTTGTTTCTAATTTCCTCACATTTTCTTCTGGCCTCCTCCCACCACACCATACAAGACTTTATTTCATTACATCTTTGCCAACTCTGGGTGCCATTACTCTAATTTTTGCTATTTTATAGATTAAAAAATGTGATTTACTGATATTTTAATTTTTTCCATTATAAGACTGAATCTTGAACATCTACAGATTGTTTATAGTTCTTCTATGATTAGCCTTCATATCTTGTCTTTTTTTCCTGATATGTCAGCTTTTTTCTATTTTAAGAGTTTTCATATGTCAAAGACTTCTGTAATCTCTGGTGTACATTGCCAGTGTTTTCCCTATTTGCTCCGGATCTTGCCTGACCCTATAACAGCTCCAGGAGACAGGCAGAGCAGGTGAAGTTATCCCCACTTAATTGACGGGGAAACTATGACTCAGCAGGGAGTGTCTGCCCAGGACTGCAGGCTGTGGGCTGACCTTGGTTTTCTTGATCTGAGCACAGTGCTCCAAGCTGACCACTGCTCCGACAGGGACTTGATTCATAATGGCATCCTTCCCCTGTACAAATCAAAATTTCTTAAATTTCTCAAAATTTCTTGAATATTTCTGCAGTGGTTTCTCTGTAAGAAAAGGAGTTGAACTAAATGACCTCTTAAGGCTTTTTCAGCTGTACTACCTTCTGATTTTTAATTTAAGGAAGAAGAGAAAGAAACAGACAGACAGACTTGGGCACAGCACTTCTTTATTTTCAAGGTCTGTTTGTGTTAAAAGCAGGTGAAGAGGCAGCTGGGTTCTCCATCCGTAGGTATGGGTGTTTGTGACAGAACATCTCCAAGGCCATTTCTTTCCTAGATTTCCCAGACTCTGCATGAGGAGCTGAGTCCTCCACCATTCTTCTCGCCAGTCAGAAGTAATTAAGCACACAAGCTAACCACGAACTCCAACATGTGTTTTGACCAGAGGACTATATCAAGCTCCTGCTGTTTCTCACATCTCTACAGACACCTTTAATGGACCCTAGCATGCATAGCATAGCCTGAAATTGGTATAGCTTCATAGTGTCATTTAGCACTGCATTGTGGAGTCAACTAAAACTTGATGAAGGTAAACATGGGAATAAACTGGTACTTTACTAAGTTTTCCTAATAATAACTCTTATAAAAAGGGTAATGTTCATTTATTAGGCAGTTTTAGAAAAAGACATTTAAAAATAAAAAATCATTCATGAACATACTATTTCATTAACCACTGCTAATGTTTTGGCGTGTACTTTTTGTTTATAAAACTGGGATCAAGCTTTGCACCTTATTCACTGAAAATATATACTGATTATCTTCCCAGATTAATATTAACCAACAGTTCAATTTTAATGATTCCACAATACTCTATTTGTGAACTGCTACTGTTTATCTGCTGTAGTTGTGCGTATCATTGGTCCTTGTCTTGATTACTGTTCTCTCATTGCTGGGACAAAATACCCAACACCCAAAATGAAGGAAGGAAAGGTTTATTTAAGCTCAGTTTGCGGAGGTTTCAGTCCCTAATCAGTTGGCTCCAAGGCAGGGCGGCATGGTGCTGAGCTAACACTGAAAGGCAGCAGCCAGCAAAGCATCAAGAGCAAAAGCAGGGAGAGCAGCCTCTTCTCCTCCCTTACAGTGCATGCAGCTGACCGGAGCCCCCAGAGCAGATGAGCCCCACAAACTCTCTGTGTCCTCCTCTTGCACAATAAGGTTCCTGCCTAGCTGCGGAGTCCATTAAACTTCTAAACTTCTCAGTTGACACAAAGTATCAACCTTAACGGTCCCCTATCCTGGGTATCTATGTTGTTTTATGTTGGGAGCCGCGGCCGAGCCCGGTCGCCTTACTTGGCGGACGTGAGGCCTGTAAGAAAGAACAAAGCCCGAGCTAGATTACCCCTCCCATCGAGTGAGCCAAGTTGGCGCCTGCTTCCTGCCCCTTGATTGCCCTGGCGACTTAAACAACCCGCTCTGTAAAATAGTCTGCCTAGCAACAACTGATGTTAGCCAATCAGCCCGCATCGCGCGCTTTGAACTGATTGGCCACTGTTACCCTATAAAAGTGAGTGCCTCTCCTGCCACGAGAGAGAAGCATGAGAGAGATAGAGAAAGTCCACCGGCAAGAAAGGGCTGGTGGCAGAGCAGAGGCCTCTCGGGGCCCACGCGGAGACAAATAAAGACAAGGTTGCACACCGTCAGAATCTGTCGTGTGTTTTTCCTGCCGGACGGGAGCGACACCGACAGTTTTACATCACATGCTACACATCTTCTACCACTAGAATATTCCATCAAACCACTCTGTGCGTGTTTATAGTTCTTTCTGTGGCTAAGGCATAAAGGTAGAATGCTCAGCTTGTTATATGTTGACAAATGACCATTGTGGGCAGCCACCATGATTCATTTATCAGTTTGACATGTGGATCAGTTTCTCCACATCTTTTTCCTTAGATAATTTCATTCATTTTTATTGATTGTGAACATAAGATATAACTTGCACTATTTTAAACTGCATTACTGATCACCAGTAATGCTAATTATTTTTTCATATGGCTATGGTCTAACTGATACTTTTTCCTGAACTGGTTATTTATGTTCTTTGCCTAGCATTTTCAGGTATTCATATTTTATTTATTAATCTGTGACATTCATTACATGTACATGTTACAGACATACATATATGATTTTGATTAAGCCCAGCTGAGATTTACTTTACACCTTTTGCCTTGATGTCATTTTTACAAAAGCTTCCCCTACTATTTTAGTCTGGGTTCAATGGTGGCAAGAGACAGAGAATCAATCAGAAGCTCCAGCAGTGGAGAAGGAAGGGTGTCTTAAGAATAGTGTAGACTGGATTTGAAACTACAGTTGCAGGTTCCGGAATTCTATAGCAACAGCTTCCAAAGCCAGCAGCATATGCAGCATGGCAATGTGTGAGGAAAATACTCGTCCTTCAGTGCATTTAAAGACCAGACACACATATGACTATACAAAAGCATATGCTTTCAGTTTATAGAACAACAAAATGAGTAACAGCATATCCTCCACTCAGGCTAATCACGTATTTATTATCTTATCCTTCAATTTTCTGGTATGGTGTGTTTGGGTGTGTTGTCCTTGGCAACTACTTGCTATATACATTTGTGCAGAGTAAATGTGTATAAGTAAATCAGCACACAGATGTTGGAGGCTGCACATCAGTTTTAATTTTAATCAGCTGTTTTAATTTAAATAATTAGGAACTGTTTCCCAAGAAACCTTTCTTTTAGGTTCCCACTTTCTCCGCCTGACTGCCTCTCGTCTTTACCAGGAGGCGTCCTGGGCGACTGGCTTGCATGCATCATTTCCGTCAGCATGGGGGCCTGTCCTTGCCACTTCTGTCCTGGCTCTGGTCTTTTCACGATGCCTCCTTGCTGCAGCTCCCTTACGGATAGTTCTGTCCTTTCCTGTTCATCTTCCAGAGACATGACCTGCTTGGTTCAGCCTGGGAACCCAGCGGCTCGGGGTTTCAGTGAGTGTGATCATCTGCTCCGCATGTGGCTGTGGCTCCTCAGCAATGTGTGCGAGTGGGCTGCTTCCCAGAGGAGTGCGGGCAGGGCACGGCCAGGACGCTGGGCAGATCCACCTCTAGACAGCATAGCTGTTCACATGGACTTCTGCTACAAGTTCTGATTATATTCTAAAAATTCAAATATTTTATCCATCTGGAGTTCATTTTAATGTAAGACATTAGAATTTACTTTTCATTAATCACTGCTACAATACTGATTGTTAATAATCTTCACCAATATAATTTGTTGCTTAGTAAAACTTTATATAACATTGATCTGTTTCTATACTTACTTTTGATTTCTTCTTCCTGTTAAATGCTAAATGCTACACTTTAAAAATTACTATGGTTTAGTAACATGTTAATATAGATAGGACAAGATCTTCCTTGCTGTCCTGTTTTCACTAATTTCCTTTCTTTTTCCTTATATAACTATTTTTCACATTCACTATTCCAGATTGACTTTAGAATTTTTCATTGAGTTCCCAAAAGATGACACTGCAGTTTGGCAAATCAAGATTACAACAGAAGTTAAAATTCACCTGCAAAGATCACAGTTAGGTGAGTTCTATCATACAGTTTACATGTTGTACAGCTCCCACCACAATCAAAGCACAGATCATGCTCACCAGAAATCACGTCTCTAAATCTGCCTTTGCAGTATTTGTTAGGTAAATGAAGACCTAAGGCAAAACTCAGAGACAGAGGCTGTGGGAAAGATCGGATTTTACCTACACACAGGCGGCTGACATCAGAGTGATACTGGCAGCTACCTGGAGGGGAAGCGAAATATACACAGGAGTTTTGAGCAGGGTTAGAATATCCAGGCGTCTGGATGAAGTGTCTAAGGTCAAGCTGCAGGGACACTCAGTGAGGTACGTGGACAGAACTGGGGGCCAGGGGCTGTGGATTTAGCTCAGTGGCACAAGCACCTGCCTAGAACACGCAGGGTCATGAGTTTGATCCCTGGCACCAAAATTCAAAACAAAACAAAACAATTTGGTGCCAGGGAGATTTTTCTAAATGTATTTATTGCCCTTACTTCTTGTTTATCAAGAGCAACTTACTGTCTTCCATTGTTTACAAAGGGAGACCTGGGGCCTCTTGGTCTCTCTCAGGTAGAGGCTGACAATATTACTTAAGTTGTGCTGAACATTTAAGTAGGAAAAAATTAACATATTTATATCACTGAGTCATATTAAGAAATAATGCTGTTTTGCTAATTAACATCTAAAATTTTCTCCAAAATTTTAGTTTTTTATGGATCTTAAATAATTCTTAAAAGATTTATGTATTTAAAATTGTGCAGTTACCATAAATTTAGGACTATTTTCATATTTGTTGTAGAGCTATCACAATTTACAGTAAATTTGTTGATTTTTGTGTATTTACAGGTAGATGCTAAGACACATAAAACACTCAAAGGAGGTTTACTTTTAGGTGCACTGGTTGGCCGATGGCTGGGGCAGGACATTTAAGCACTATCCAGCTTTTGTGTATGTCTCGTGTGGTTCTTGCATCCCAAGGCACACTGCAGGCACTGGGTCTATCTAATTACACCCTTAGCCTGACACAGGCGCTCAGAAAGTATGGGCTGAATGAGTGATCACTGAACGGCTGCCTTTCCTCTCGTCCCGGATGGGGTGCTGAATGGATGGGTGCACTTGTTGAGTACCTTCCCCCCTTGGCTAGAACCCTGCTCAAAGGCGCTCTTGCACTCCACGAGAAAAGCCTGACATTCGTTCCCAAATGGGAAGGGCTTTTATGGAGTCAGGCTAGGGGCAGAGCACTTGGGTGGTTATGGAGGCTTGGGATTGGAGAAGGCTTGGAGCACGTGCAAAAAGGGAGTGGGAGGTTTATTTCCAGAACTAGAAGAACACAGAAGTTACTTTTGGAGAGACAGGCTGCAGTTTTTCGGGGCCTGGTGCCTAACTGGCTGTGTGCCATGTTAAGTTGTAGCTAAGCCCCAGGCCGGCAGAACACATCACTGGGCAGAATGAAAGAGGACACATTCAGAGAGCAGAGTGTGGGTCCTTCACAGAGGTCATTATGGATCTGGGTTGGGGGTTTTATGGCCATAGTGTCAGCCTGACCTACCTGAGAGACCTGTGCACTGCCCTCTACAAACACCAGGATCTAGGCTGCCCTCAGCACACAAGACTTGATGGCCATGAAGAAATTAGGAGTGGACCTGTAGTCTCCTAGATGCCTGGCAGTGTCCACACAGCTATGCTGATCTTTCTTGCAGCTCTGACCTCAAAGCTTCCATCTAGAGAGCATCTCTGGGAGTATGACCATCTACCCCAAATCCTACACATACTTAGCCTGCCCTTCAGATATCTGCTGATTATCACTCTGCTGTCAGCCTGCCTGTAGGTAGACAGAATTCAATCTAGCCTTTTGGTCTCGATCTCAGGGTGTTTTCCCACCTACCATTAGTAAACGCCGGAGAATATCATAATGGTTGATCTAGTCAGGCCACCCCTTTAGTGGGCCAGGACAGAATGCAAACCATCTGCATGTGTTTGAAATTTAGAGATCAGCTGCCCACTTAGCGGGGCTGCTTTTGTTGTTGGTGTTTTTGGACTGGGGATCAAACTCACGACCCTGAGCTTGCCAGGCAGGCACTTATACCACTGAGCTACATCCTCCGCCCCATGCTGATTTCTTGAGCGCAGGGAGGTCTGTGAGATGAAGAGCCATTTACAGGTGTTACGGTTGAATCATTGTGTCCACCTGAGAAGTCTAGAAGCATAACTCAGCAGCTCTGCATCCTGTAGGTAGAGGACAAGCCTTTACCATTCTAGCCTATTGTTCTTCCTGTCAATTTGAGGAGGTCAGAAGTTACCTAAATGATTCAGCAGGGGGTCAGAGTCCTTAGTTTGAAACATCCTCAGCCTGTATAAGAGGAGCATGCTGCAGATCTTAGGAGTGCTACACCCACCCCAGGGGAGCAGCCTGCACACAATAAAGGCACGAGAGAAGCCTGATCGCTGGTTGCTGGAGGAGCTCCAGTCCTCACCTTCAGCTTGGACTCGGCCTCCTGGTTTCTGGCTCACTGTTCAGCTCCCACCTGCAACTTTTCAGCTTTCCCTCACACACCCATCAGCCTCCTAATACAGACTTACAAGAGACACTGCAGTGAGCGCCAGCCCTTGGGCGGGACCCTCCACCTCCAGCGTGCAGACACCCTCTCTCCTCTCCCTCCTCCGACTCTGTGGCTGACCGCTGTAAGCCAATCTTGTAATTTCATACACATTTGTGTATCTTGTGTTACATGTTTCTCTACTAAATCCTGATACACCAGGTAAAAAGCACAGGCCCCAATTGAGTCTTTAAGAACTTTAGGGATAAAAACACGGGAGGGAGTTTTCTGGAAGGAAAAAAAGCATTGTGAATGGGTGATTTTGGTGTCCTGAAGCGTTTTCTTAAAAATACAATTTAAGCATGATTTTCAGCTGGGAACAGTGGCAATCCTGTAACCATAGCTCTGTGGGAAGCTGAGGCAGGAGAATCTCAACTTGAAGACCCAGCTGGGAAAGTTAGTAACACTCTGTCTCCAAAACATAAAAAGATTTTAAAAATAAAAGGGGGTGGGGATATAGCTCAGTGGAGAACAACCCTGAGTTTGATGTCTTGTACACACACACACACACACACACAGGGACAGAGACGGAGATTTTCTTGTCTCTTTACTGGTCTTTATTTCTCCTATTCCCCCTCAAGGAGACCTGGAATAGAGCCACAGCTCTGCATCCCAGGTAGGTGACCAAGCAGGTTCACCCAGACTAAAAGGAAATTCTAGTGTCAACTTTGCTAAGCTTGCACAGAAGTCCCATGTGGCCCATTTTCCTCCACAGTAAGGCCACACTAGCTGGTTCTAGCCAGGCCCGACATGTCACGGCACAGTGACCTCCAAGCCAACCTCTGTGCTCAGCCAAGAGGCCAAGGCTAAGTGCACTTTCCCCGTGAGACCAGGAGTCTCCACCCGCATCCACAAAGTGCAGCCTCGGCCTCTGACCTTCACCGAATGGAAAGTGGCTCAGCGGCTGCCAACTACAGTGTTCCCGCCAGGAAATACTTCAGATGGCCCGAGTGTAAGGTAGTTATCTAGCCTACTCAATAAGCAGGGACTCAAATGGCACAGGAGTCGCTGGCAGGGTCTCAGAGCCTGACTGACAACTACCAGCAGCTACTCAGGGCTGCAGCCGGTGAGGAAGGTGCCTGCTCGCTGCAGTTTGCTCCTGCTGGGTTTCCTGGGGTCCTGGAAGCCTCCGAATGGCCCTGAGCAAACTTCTCTGGCTCTCAAAGTGGCACCAGTGTTAGCCACTGTGAGGTGGGGCTGCGGGAACAGCTGGCTCCCTGTACCTTTAAGTGGGATGAGAAACCTTGCACACAGCCTCAGCTGTGCCTGCCCTGACTACCCACAGCACACCCAGCCCTACCTCACTGCCTCTCACTCTGCTGGTTTGCTTACAGCTTGCGGAGTCCTGTCTTCTGTGCATTTGCTTGCAGTCCCTCTCTTCATGGGCACCCTGCTCTTGGCATCAGCTTGCATGGCTGTCTAAACTCAAACAGGCTGCTGCCTGTGTCAGTGCCCCCTTCCATCAGACCTGTGCTCAAGCCTGCTGTTCACAGGACTCTTCTTCCCACTCTTGGAGGTATATAGTGAGATGCACAGATCTCAAGGTTCTAGTTTAATTGGCTGGTAGATATGCAAGTCATGTAGATGTGGCCACAGAACATTTCCATCTCTCTGGAAGATTCCCTGGCAACCCTTTCCATTGGGAACCATCCAGATTCCTGCCAGAGCAAAGCACGGCGCTGACTTGAATCCCCACACGATGGTCCTTCCTGTTCTCCTAGCATTTTACTTCACCCTGAAATAATTTTTTTCCACATTCCTACCCTTGAGAATGGAAGGGGAGGTTGGGAGATTGTCTGTTATCCCCCACCACCATGTGCTTCTTGAAATGGGTGCAAACATGGACATAAAGTCTTGCACAAACATAGACAGAACACATGGCTTCTAAAATGCAAAACACGAGATGGTAAACCTGAATTCTCACTATGGGATGTTAAACAAACGAACAACAAAAACAAAACTCCAAAATACCCAAATAGGGTTTTCCTGTAGGACTGCAGTCACGTTTTTAAAAGACAGAGTTGAAGGGCTGGAGATTTAGCTCAGCGACATAATGGAAGCAGGCAGTCGTGAGTTCGATTCCTGGTACCGATAAAAAGGAAAAACACACACACACAAAAAAAAAGACAGAGTTGAGGCTGGCAACTGTGAGGTTGCGAGTTGGATCCCTGATACCAAAAAAATAAGTTAATTAATTAAAAATAAAAGATAGGAGCTGGGGATTTAGCTCAGCGGCATAAGCACCTGCCTTGCAAGCAGGCGGTTATGAGTTCGATCCTTGGTACCAATAAAAATGAAAAAGACAAAAAAATTTTTTAAAAATAAATAAAAGATAGAGTTGGCTGGAATTGAGCTGGGAGCAGGCAGAGGTGTAGATGATAAAGACCAGCAACTGGGTTGTTAAGTACTGAAATTTAATGCATCAAATTCTAATGAACAGTAGACTATTCTACTACATGCTGGAAAATGTCCATGATAAAGAGGAAACAATCTCTAATTCTCTTCCAATTAAGTATGCACACAAACGTTTCCATGAAACTGTATAATAGAGTTAATGGTATTAGCATGCTCGACCTCCTGTGGCCTAACCAGGGGTCCTTGGCTGAATGGAAACCAGACTCTGGCTCCTGCTCCGGCTTCCCCAACTCTTAAAGGAGAACCAAAGCTCCTGCCATGAACCACAGAGCTCTGTGGATGTTGACTTCTCTGATCTTATCCCCATGTTTTTCCCTGACCCACAGGACTCTGTCACCACACTAGGCTCCCTGCTATTCTAGAACATGCTCCCCAAGAACAATGGTGTAGGGCTTTGCACCTCCTGTGGCTTCTGCCTCGAAGGGTCCCCCAGATCCTCACAAGTCACTGTTTTGCCACTAGTCACCTCCTGAAGGAACTCTCTGTCTTAATCTGTTCTCTGTTGCTAATAACAGAACACCACAGACTGGGGAATGCTCTAGGACAATACATATGAAATACAAAACAGTAGTTACTTAGTAGTACGGGTCTAGGATAGGGGAGATGAGAGACTTGAGCTCAGTTTGTCATGTCTAGCTGGGGATTTAGCTCAGTAGCATAAATGTCTGCCTTGCGAGCGTGTGGTCATGAGTTCGATCCCTGGTACAAGAAAAAAAATTGTCATGCCTAAGTTTTCTTTGGGGAATTCACTTGTAAATTTCTGGTCCCCTAAACTTAATTTAAAAATGTTGAAAATTGAAAAGAAATGTACCTAACAATTGTTTCCTGGGAGGGGAACAGTGACAATTTAAAATTTTCCTTCAACTTTCTGTATGCTCCCAAATTTTTCTATAGAAGATAGAACAATTACTGAAGAATGCAAAAGTTTTAAAATACATCCTCAAAATAAACAGAAAATAGGAAGACTTCACTAAAGAGGTTAATACAACTCACTGATAGGAATAATCACCCTTATCACAAAGTAATTCAAAAATAAAAATATAACTTTATATAAAGTATAAACTACATGGATGAAAAGGCTTCATGGTTGACTGTTCTTTTTTTTAAAGTGGACTCACTTTCGCACATACACATTTAAATTTGCAGTACTTAAAAACACAGTTATTAGAACTAGCAGTGTCTCCTGAGATCCAAGCCATGCTGGAACTTAGGACTCTGGGAAGCCAAGCCAGCACCTCCCCTCCCTGCAAGCGGAGGCAGGGTGGCAGCCTGCAGCCCTTCCAGGGGGAGAACTAGCAGCGTCTCCTGAGATCCACGCCATGCTGGAACTTAGGACTCTGGGAAGCCAAGCCAGCACCTCCCCTCCCTGGTAAGTGGCGGTAGTTTAGCCCACTGCAGCCCTTCCAGGGGGAGAACTAGCAGTGTCTCCTGAGATCCACACCATGCTGGAACTTAGGACTCTGGGAAGCCAAGCCAGCACCTCCCCTCCCTGTAAGCGGAGGCAGGGTGGCAGCCTGCAGCCCTTCGAGGGGGAGAACTAGCAGTGTCTCCTGAGATCCAAGCCATGCTGGAACTTAGGACTCTGGGAAGCCAAGCCAGCACCTCCCCTCCCTGGTAAGCGGCGGTAGTTTAGCCCACTGCAGCCCTTCCAGGGGGAGAACTAGCAGTGTCTCCTGAGATCCACGCCATGCTGGAACTTAGGACTCTGGGAAGCCAAGCCAGCACCTCCCCTCCCTGCAAGCGGAGGCAGGGTGGCAGCCTGCAGCCCTTCCAGGGGGAGAACTAGCAGTGTCTCCTGAGATCCACGCCATGCTGGAACTTAGGACTCTGGGAAGCCAAGCCAGCACCTCCCCTCCCTGGTAAGCGGCGGTAGTTTAGCCCACTGCAGCCCTTCCAGGGGGAGAACTAGCAGTGTCTCCTGAGATCCACGCCATGCTGGAACTTAGGACTCTGGGAAGCCAAGCCAGCACCTCCCCTCCCTGCAAGCGGAGGCAGGGTGGCAGCCTGCAGCCCTTCCAGGGGGAGAACTAGCAGTGTCTCCTGAGATCCACGCCATGCTGGAACTTAGGACTCTGGGAAGCCAAGCCAGCACCTCCCCTCCCTGGTAAGCGGTGGTAGCTTAGCCCACGGCAGCCCTTCCAGGGGGAGAACTAGCAGTGTCTCCTGAGATCCACACCATGCTGGAGCTTAGGACTCTGGGAAGCCAAGCCAGCACCTCCCCTCCCTGTAAGCGGAGGCAGGGTGGCAGCCTGCAGCCCTTCCAGGGGGAGAACTAGCAGTGTCTCCTGAGATCCACGCCATGCTGGAACTTAGGACTCTGGGAAGCCAAGCCAGCATCTCCCCTCCCTGTAAGTGGAGGCAGGGTGGCAGCCTGCAGCCCTTCCAGGGGGAGAACTAGCAGTGTCTCCTGAGATCCAAGCCATGCTGGAACTTAGGACTCTGGGAAGCCAAGCCAGCATCTCCCCTCCCTGTAAGTGGAGGCAGGGTGGCAGCCTGCAGCCCTTCCAGGGGGAGAACTAGCAGTGTCTCCTGAGATCCACGCCATGCTGGAGCTTAGGACTCTGGGAAGCCAAGCCAGCACCTCCCCTCCCTGGTAAGCGGCGGTAGTTTAGCCCACTGCAGCCCTTCCAGGGGGAGAACTAGCAGTGTCTCCTGAGATCCACACCATGCTGGAACTTAGGACTCTGGGAAGCCAAGCCAGCACCTCCCCTCCCTGGTAAGCGGCAGTAGTTTAGCCCACTGCAGCCCTTCCAGGGGGAGAACTAGCAGTGTCTCCTGAGATCCTAGCCCTGTTGGAGCTTAGGTCTCTGGGAAGCCAAGCCAGCATCTCCCCTCCCTGTGAGTGGAGGCAGGGTGGCAGCCTGCAGCCCTTCCAGGGGGAGATCTAGCAGTGTCTCCTGAGATCCACGCCATGTTGGAGCTTATCTCAATCTCTCCCTTATTCTTTAAAAAAATTATTTAGTTATTTCTTATGTTTTTTAATTAAGGGGAAAAATTTTTTTAATTAGCATATATTATAGTAACTCTTTTTGATTTACTGTTAACTTGTTTTGAAGTCCTGTAATACCCCCACGATCTTGTTTTGACTGATTAGACTCTGTTCCATTCTATATGATAGTATCAAGTTTGAGGGTATAAGCACCTACTTTGAAGGGAATAAGATTCACTAAGATGCCCATTCTGGTTTGACTGTTGTCTCCTTTGGAAGTCCTGTAATGTTTACAATGCCTAAGTTTTATTGGTCTTGTTCTCTACTGTTTTGTCCAACTTTATAATATCTAATGAGATAGACTATTCTTTTTAAGGAAACAAGAGACAATTTTGATAACCATTGTTGATAACCTTGTACTCTGTTCTACATCATGTGCTATGTCTATCCTTGGTTTTGAGTGGCAGCTTTGTTTTCCATATTTGACTATATTCTCTTCCCCCCAAAAAAGTAATAAGGACTAGGAGTAATAAAATCCAAAATGTGTAAATTTTGTTGTAAAAAAGAGAAGGAAAAAACAAAAAGAGCTCTATGGATATAACAACAATTGTGTTTAGGGGTGTTAAATAGCTGACTATATTAATGTTTTTGGATCATTGAACACAGCTGTTTGCAGTCTCTCTGTTTGAATGTTCACTTTGTATTCTTTGATACTGTGATTTGAGCAACTATTTCCAAGATGATAATATGTAATCTATTAGCAGGTGATTTCTTACTATTATGTTTTTTTTTTTGTAGTTCTGTATTACGTGTACCCTTACACCACTTTGTTTTGTTTTGTGTTTTTCTCTTTTTCCTCTTAAATAAAATTAAAAAAAAAAAAAAAAAACCACAGTTATTTGGGAGATTATGGTTCAAGTATTAATTTTTAAGTTTAGATTTAAAACATAACAGGAGATTTTCAAACCTACGCAGATGCATTTACACTTCCAAATCACCTCACTGAGTTCCTGTTTGCAGCCTATTGGCTGGGTGCTTTACTGGTTCCCTGTAAATCTCAGTTCTTGGACTCACAGTATCAGCTGCCTCATCAACAGCCACTTGCGTTATTTTCATGCCTCTTGCACTGACGGGATTCTTAGAGTTTTCAAACAAATAGCAATTCTTAAAAATATTAATCCCATTAAAGTAAAAACTCTAACCTATTCAGGTATGTATGACTTGACTGAATGGGAGCCTGATTTTGATTTCCCAGCACACAGAGTTAAAAGGTTGCCCTGTCCCGTGGAACCCCTAGATTTGGATGGGTTCACAAGGTCACCACAGCATCCCATAGCAGGGAAATGAGCAGAGACCAGAACAGAAAGCAAGACTCAATCTTACTCCTAATAATAAGGGCATGTCTGTTCGTGGAAAGGATCATTATGAGGCCCTGTGCCAGCCTGCCTCCAGCAGCCCGACTCTAAGCCTTTAAGCCTGATACTGGAATGAAGAGCAAATGAGACATTTCTTAAAAAGCTGCTGTTCCCTTTCTGGATCATTACACCAGCTCCAACCTGCAACAGCTGAGAATGAAGACTACATTTTATCTGAGAGCAAGCTTGCTGCAAAGCGATCCACACAAGTGCTGTGTGGCTTAAAACAGACCATCTTTTCAAAGGGTTGACATTTTAGAACTTTAATATCTTTCTTGTCGGATGAGACTAGTCTTGTATTAAGTTCTTTACTCTCTTGATAAGGTTCCTGAGTTATTCCAAACCAGCTACTTAGGGGGTGAACTAAATATTAAGAGTTGTTTAAGGAATAAGCTATTGTACTGGTTTGCTAGGGCTGCCTTAACAATACACCACGGACCATAGTTCACAGGATGTTTTATCTCCTCAAGTTTCTGGAGGTTGGAAGGCCAAGATCAAGGTGCCAGCTATGGTGGTTTTTCTGGAGACTTCTCATGACCTGTGGACCTCTTTTGTATTTTCATGTGGTCCTGTCATCGTGTTTTTTTTAACTCTTGACGTCAGTAATATTGGCCTTTGGAGGGCCTTTCATAATGGGTGCATTTTAATTTATACTTTAAACACTTTATATTCAAATCTGGCCATGTATTGGAGTTAGGACTCTGACCTAAGAATTATGGGAGGCACGATTCAGCTAAATACTTCTAGTTGTTTTTTGTTTTCTTCTTTCCCTTTGATATTTGTACTGTGGCACCTTGGTTCATGAACAAGTCTATGCATACTCTGGCTCAAAAATAGAAGCACCTGGCAAAAAAATTTTTTTGTTTATGAATTCTGCCATCAGGTACCAAACACAAACATGGTTATCTTTCTTGTACGAAAATGAATATGGCCATTTTCTCCAGAATTGTGGACCTCATTAAGTTTGTGAAAAAAGGTACCACTATGTTAAGTATTGAGAATTAAAAAACCCAAAGAGGACTGTATCATGTGCATGTAAAAATGTAACTGATGTGCAAAAATAATCCATTTTCCAAATAGGTCTTATAGTTGGTTGCATTTCAGAATTTACTGAGAACTTTTAAGAGACCTTCTCCAAGTGGAAAAAAGGTGATGATCATGCTCACGTAAACCAGTCAAGTATAGGAAAGTAAAACTCAGAAAGCAAAGCCAAGATTCGTTCTATTGTGCATCAATCATATTTTCGACACACCAAAGGGAGGCTCACGTTACTTCTTCAGAAGCATCCCTGTGAGTTTACAGGCAGTCTGGAATGCAGGTCTCCGCATTACCCAAGACTGGGCAGCCCTGGGCCTGGGAGTCAGTATTTAATGAGTACCCATCTGCCTACCCACGTTGGTCTGTAGGGCTCTGTGTTGTATGCCATAGGCTGCCATCTACATACCCACTCTACCCAGGAGAGAAGTCACGCTTGTGCAAGTTGCAAATCTCAACACACCTTTACTTTACATGCAGTATAATCTTAATAAATGCAGAAAAATATTATTTCACATTTTCATGAACAATTTTGTTATTTCCATTTGGTACATCACTGAAAACCTGGCAGATCATTCAGTTAAAAAAAAAATCACAAAAAGATCCATAGAAGAATCAAAGAAATGTTTTCTTGAAACAACGGATCTTTTCTATACTCTGGTCAAATCAGCATCTGCTGATGGGGGAATGGAGTACAACAGGACAGGGAGGCTAGCTGTCAAAGACTTGGTTTTTGCTTTAAGTATAAAGATGAACTTTGAATAGCAGCATCTGACTTGATGGTTACCAGCCACCAAGAACTCGAGGTGAGGAAGGCAAAGCACTGCAGAGAGTACGTTCTTTTCTGGGAATTCAGCTTTATACTGTGTGGCAGCAAGGGTCTGAGACTCCGACGAGGTGGCCGGGCTGCTCAGAGAGGCCTGTTCCCAAGGAGACGTCTGCCACCATCCCTCCTGTGGGGAGGCGAGGCGTGCTCTCCCCTGGCCTCACTTTAACTTGGTCCTCTGGATTCCCAGGGGCTACTGGGAGACGGGCTGTCATCTTCCGAGTTCCAAGAATCCTGACTGAACCCTAAGCTAATCTTAACTAAAAATCATACATTCTTATGGTACGAAGGCCATTCTTTAGGTTGCATAATATACACCAGCGCTTATGAAGACCAAGCTTCCTTCCTCTTTGGCAAAACACAGTACCTGGCAACACGGCTCTGGCTAAGTCTTCTTCTGTGCCTGCTTGTGGGCCCGCATGTGTGCAGCAATTGAACCAGCTATTTCTGCATTCTTCTTGTTCTGGCCAAAATAATCTAAGAACTCACCATCTGGTCCAATCAAGTACATTATTATTGTATGATCCACCTGCAGAGACAACAGAGGAACATGTGACAAGATCACCAAAACAAACTGCTTTTTGTACTGCATAACTGTTGCAGGATAAGAGAATTTTTGTTAACACCTATATCATCACTGTAGCCATTGTTATTTACACAATAGGCCTATGTTTATTATAGTAAATTCACTTAGGCCATGGAGTGCCTAAGATCCTTTGTGTTCTAGAAATTTGCACCAGCTACAGCTTGTAACATCAGCTAGTCCGCATAATTCTTTGGTTCAATCTTTAACATACTGTTACTCAGGCTTGAAGAATTCTGGAAGAAGAGTTCACCTTCTAGGGTATGGTTGCTGCAGGCCTTCATAAAATAGTCCATGCTTGTGGAACAGTATACTTTGAGTAAAAATATATTCTTTCTCTCCTTAGTCACAGTGTAAGAGATGTCACGTGAAAGCAAACTGCTTTTGAGAAGTTACTTTCATGAGTTCTTGAGTAAATTCTTGTATGTTTCCAGAAGAACTGGTTCTCATTCACTACTCCTTAACCTCTGCTCATCATGTTTTACACGAAGCCAGAAAGGTAATCACTGCTTCAATTCCATAACCTATACATCCTAACACAATAGTTAGCCCTGATATTAGAATTCAAAAACAACAGGAAGAGATGTTTTTTCCCAAAGAAATTTTTATATACTATCCTGAACAATTCTATCCGAAGCCAATCATCTGGAAATGCTTCAGGAGCCATGAATGGCATACTCTGGAGTCTTCTTCAATCTAACATCTATTTTTTTGACAAAGTTCTTAAAACATTCTCAGCTCTAAAGTTTAGATCATAGGTGCTATCTTTTTAGTTAGTTACTTCCACAAAACTCAATTTTGTAAGACCCAATTTGGCACTGTAAGTGCTAGGAATTTATTACAGTCTTGACTGCTATTTGGCAAGACAGGAAGAAAGGAATGTGATCACACATACCAAACTGGAGACTCTCCCTTAAATATACTGCGACACACATTATATGTCTATGAGGTTATTACTTTATATATACACATTCATAAGGAGACAGCAAATGGAGAGCCACTTGTCTACCCCATAAGGAAAGAATGCCATCAAGACAGCTCCAACAGCTGCTCAATTCATGTGTTAAGAAAGGGTTTACTGCAGGAGCAAGATGGGGCTTGATGATCTCAGCAATCTGACACAGAAATCAGAATGAAGTCTCCAGTGCTCCTCTCTAAACTTACTCTGCAGGTTATACCTCTTTTTTCTGCCACTTTTTCTTTTTCTCTAGTCTCTTCCTTAAAAAAAAAAATCACTAGAATACGCTTTTCTGAGTGCTCTTAATACAAATTAAGTAGTATTTTCTGAGTGTTCTTAATACAAATTATTTTATATATAATAGAAACGTTCTATCCATATTTCTTAAACTTGTTAGTGATCACTTTTTAGTATTCATTTAGGACGAGGACAGAGTAAATTGGTATCTGCTCTAGTATAGTTATTCAGTTTTAGTAGTTCCTGGTACAGAAGAATGAAACAAGCAATTATTAACATATCCTTCCATAGGTCACCTCGCACCTGCAATGGTACGCAACAGGCTGGAGTGTGTCGATTACATAACCAAGGCATGTCAGACTAGATTCCATCTCTGGTCAACTTCAAAATTACAACCCTTGGGGCTGGGGATTTAGCTCAGCGGCATAAGCGCCTCCCTTGCAAGCGTGTGGTCATGATTCAATCCCTGGTACCAGCTTAAACAACAACCAAAAAAAAAATTACAACCCTTATCATCATGTTGTCACCATCTCTAATTCTACTGGAAAACAGCAACTTGGTTTTTCTAACGTGTAACTTTAAAAAAGGTTGGGGCCACTGAGCTAGTAACCATTTATACTGGAGAGCACGCTGGAGAAATGCCCCAGGGAAACGGAGTGCCCAAGGAATGCCTGGAGGGCATGGATCGCTGGAGGTGAACAGCTGACAACACGGGGCATTAAAAAGCTGGCTAGTTAAGCAAAAGGGCGTCATGTGACAAATGTATAAATACATACACTGGGATGGTTAAGCAGTCTCTTCCTCCCAGCTTTCTTTCTATCCATCTATCTATCTATCTTTCTATCTATCTACCTTGGATAACTTAGAGAGGTCTCACAGACGTGACAAATAAAAAAAAACCCAAACTGTTTGAAATGGTTAACACAGGCACAAACAGAACCCAGCACCTTTACGCCCTGAAAATCTTGCCCTGCTGCACTCCCCAGCACAACACCTGTTACTCTCAGAGGGAACCGCTGTGTTTCAGAGAGCCGCTCTGCATTTCCTGCTGCATGTACCCCCCACTACTATCTATTTATGTTTATAAACGCTAGTTTACAGGCAGATCACGAGAAACACGGCGTATCCGCTTTCTCGTCTAACTGCCTCCATCAGTGATCTAGAGCAGTGCAGGTCTACTAGCTTTAAAGACCAGCTGCAGCAGGCACAGAGTCACACACACACTCTGGGAGGCAGAGGAAGGAGGGTCACAAGTTTGAGCCTAGCCTGGGACAACTTAATGACTGACTGTCAGCAATAAAAATAAAAATGGATGGTGACATTAGTTCAGTGTGAATGGAGCCATGAATGGCATCTGGTCCAATCTGGTCCAATCAAGTACATTATTATTGTATGATCCACCTGCAGGGACAACAGAGGAACATGTGACAAAAGATCACCAAAACAAACTGCTTTTTTTTACTGCATAAATGTTGCAGGATAAAGAATTTTTGTTAACAATGCACAGTAACGCAAAAACAAACAAACAAACAAACAAACAAACAGCAACAAAGTCCTTGTTCCAAATTCACTCCAGCTGTGTATTTCTTACTTATCCAATTCTGACAATAGGTTTTCAGACCATCTGAGTGAAAACTGGCATCTTATTAAACTCACATTTCTTTTATTATGAAACAGCATCTTATGCTTCAAGGCCAATTGTATTCTTTCAAAAATATTTGCTGATTAGTACTGTAATTCTTTTGTACTGTAGTTGTGTGTAATGTTATAACATGCACATTTAGATTTCTAAAGAATCTTAAATCTTTGGCATGCTCCATTTATATACACAGTATCAGTCTGAGAATTCCATCCAAAAACTCTTAAAAGTTTACCTCTTTGTGGCTGTTGTCTGAGATTGTGAAAATCTCACTCAATTATAAATCAAGGCTAATCTTTAAGGACTCCCATCCCTCCTCACAGGTCCTTAAATCTTAAGTATTTCTCTGACCACCTTATACATGAAAATCTGTGGCTCCAAAGCACAAATTCACACTATGGAATGCCTAAGAAATCTAAATGAGTCTCCCCCTGTTGGTTGACTTAGCAAATGTACAGCAGTGATCAGACTTTTAAGTCAAATTCTTACAGCAGTTGACCAGTATTATCTCAAAATAGGATGTATCTTAGAAGGTCAAAGAAGTCTCCATAAGTTTTGCATATTATCATTTTAATTTTTAAGATTAAAGATAATGCATATTCTGCATTATCTGTGCTATGGGTACAAATTTCAGGGCCCTAATCTGTGTTTGGTTTGTTTATACCCTCACTGCTACTTGCTGCAAACTGCTAGTTTATAGGTAGATCACACAAAAATAGTGTTTTTACTGCATCAAGACCAACCAGTGAAAGAAGACTACACAATCAAAGATTCCAAAGTATTTAAAAAGAAAGCGAAACTGTGGAGGGGCAGTTGATAGTATAGCTGGACGTGACACAAAACCTGTTTCTGGGAGCAGTGCTTTGCATTCAGCGAAGTATCCATCACTTTAATTGAATTTTTAAATACAAGTTTTATAAGCTATTTGGTTTTATTTTAAAATTTCAAAACAGTAAGACAGTAACAATGATTAAAACATTATGTATTATCTTTAGTTACTCAAGAGTAAAGATATCTGCATTTCATTCTCCAAACAATATTAGCACAAATCTATCTTTTCAATGAACTAAGTGAAATTACTAGTCTGTCTATCGACCTATCTATAAATATATTTTTGCTTTCTCTTTCCTATTATTCATTTCCCATCCCAGGTTCTCTTATGTTTTGAAGCTTCCTCCCATTTTACAGTATCTAGTGTACATTTTGGATCTTACTTACGTTCAGCTTCGCACACTAAGGAGATAATATGATGTTTACACATTTGCACCTAGTTTATTTCACTTATGAGTAATGAGTATGGTCTCAAGTTGCATCCACTTAACAGTAAAAATCTCCACTTGTCCTTCTTTATGGCTGAGCAGTACTCCACTGTATAAGAAGGCCACATCTTTTTTATCTACCCCTCAATTGATGGGCATTTGGGTTGTTTCCAAGATCTAGCTATTACAAATTGTGCTGCTATAAACATAGATGCACATGTATTACTGTGATACAATGTTTCTGATTCTTCTGGGAAGATACCCAGAGGGAATAGCTGAGTCAAATGGGACCTCCAATTCTATTTTTTTGAGGAATCTCCACACTGATTTCCACAATGGCTACACCAGTCTACAACACGCCAGCCAACACTGGAGAAGGGTTCCTTCTTATCCACAGCTACCAGCACTTGCTATTGGTGGATTTCTTGATAGTAACCATTCTTTCTAGGGTGAGATGGAGTCTCAGTGAGTCTCTTGAATGGCCAGTGATGTTAAAACATTTTTTCATATATTTATTTGCTATATGTACGTTATCAAAAAAGTGTGTATTAATCTCAGATGCCCATTTTAAGTTTGGGAGATTTGATTTTTTGTGTTCTTTTACATTCTCAATAGTGATCCTTTGTCTGAGGAACAGCTGGCAAACGTTTTCCCCACACTGTGAGCTGTCTCTTCACTCTGTTGGTGGTTTCTCTTGATGTGCAAAAGTTTTCAATACGATGAGATTTCAGTTGCTGATTCTTTGTGATAGTTCCTGTGCAACTGGAATTTTATTCATAGTCTTTGCCTACACCAAAGTCTTCCAGTGTTTTGTCTGTTTTATCTTTCAGCAGTTTTAATGCTTGTTTTAATA